TCATATGTCTTCACAACCCCCCCTGCCCAGCCACAAGTCCACAGGCATTTTCCCACACTAATTATCTTGCGGTAATTAATTGGCTTCTATTTACTTTGGCTCTGGTCTTTGCCACTTGTTTCTTTTCTAGGTACCAGAGGCTCAGTCTTCACACCTCTCTTGAACAAGCACTGCCTGAGGTAAATTGCCAAATACTTTGTAGTTGCGCATTCCTGGGTTGGGCCACAGGTTCAGGGATCTATGTAATTCTTTTCTCATCAAGCCAGCTTTATGAACAGAAACTATGAATTTCATCCATGAATAATGTGCTTACAAGTCTCAGATGTTCTCAGGTACTCATAGTGCTTCAAAAGCTTCTTTGTTGGCATACATTTGATCATTGCGATCTGCTTGTCCATTGGGTCCACAGGGTTCTTCTCAATGGTGGCCAGTGGCTGCTTCCTCCATGGAGGCAGTTCCTTTGGAGGTTCCATTGAACCTTTCATTGAATACTGAAAAGTGTAATGATGAAGTAAGTTGGGATGTCTATGAATCTCCAGTTCCAAATCCAATGGTTTCTATTTTGGATCCAAAGTAATTTTTATTGGAGGTTAAAATTGGTTAAAATTAAAATTGCCAATTTTAATTTTAACCTATCCTGCCTTTAAAAGTAATACATAAACTGGTTAAAATTAAAATTGGCAATTTTAATTTTAACCAATTTTAAAATCCTTGTTTTTCCAATTTGAAACCTTTAGAGTCATCATGCATGACCTGAATGAATTGTCTACAGAGTTGCCAAGAGCCACTCAAACAAAGGAAATGGATGGGCATCAGCTTCAGCCAAGGAGATCTTGCACCTCCTTTTTGATTCCAGTATTGGACACTAGCGCAATGATTGTGATACCTCAGGTTGAGATCATCAGCTCTCATCATCATTCCAAAGCTGATCATGTGCATCCATGAAGGCTTGAAAAATGATTCTACAGGTCCATCACCACTACATTGATCAATATGGCTTGACAGCTTCAGCCATGCAGAAATGCTCATATCACATATATCATGTTTTTCTTATATTTAAATTTAGTTTATCAAAGAGATCTTGCACCTCCTTAATGATTCGCTTGCGTCCATAATGTCGAATCATTTTTCCAGGGAAGCTCAATTGACTCAATCTACATTTGAATCCTCATCGTCTTTGGGTTTTTCGGCTTGCTCTCCAGCATCAAGAGGTGATGTAGGAGAACATGGGGTTACAGCAGGACCTGATCAGGAGGCATGATGATGAACATATTGCACAGTGCATAGTTGACATGAGATAATTTCAAACCCACAGTCACAGAAAACTCCAGCCTGTGTAGATCATTCCTTCATCCAGGAGCTCCAATGGGGTAGCATGCGCAGTAGGTGCAGTAGGTGGTCCTCATGATGCATTGAAACTGAAACAAAGGAGGTGCAAGATCTCCTTATGCCCAAAACAAAAAAAATCATCTGAGGAGGTCTTGCACCTCCTTCGTAACATGATATATCAAACCATATATGAAACAAAATCATTATCTAAATGATTCAAGTTTCCATAGATTTGAGAAGCTCTCACAGCATAGAGGATTCTCATTCGTCTTTTTGCTTCTTCAATTGAGATGACCCCCATGTCAGCCATGTAAGTGAGTTGGGCTGCTGCACCTCTCATTCCCTCCCCCAGTGGTAGACCTGCATCCAGTGTTGGAAAAAAATATAAATATTCAAAACACAATCTATGTCCAATATGATACATCATAAAACATGTTTGCCACCTTGCAAGAGGGCTACCACAGCTGCCATCTGAGAGGAGGAAGGTCCTCCTTCGCCAGCACCAGGCAACACTTCAGGAGGATGGATAAATTCAGCAGATGCCAAGTCAACAGGAGAACCTGCCAGCACAACTATGCCATGCAGAAGTGAGCAATTGCGATATTAGAAATGGATGCCCCACATACTATGTGTACATATACATGAAAAACACACATATATATATATTACTGTAATATATACATATATATATATCTATCTATCTATCTAACTATTTATTTATCTATCGATCTATATCTACATGACATGTCAAATATGCAGGGCCTTCACCAGGTGGAGCAGCAGCAACTTGCTCATCAGGGCGGCGGCGCTTAGGAGCAGGTTCTTTTCCTGCCAAAGTCAAATGGCTAGATTGTCTGAAGGAGATCTTGCACCTCCTTACTCAATGTACGGCATCAAAATTACACAACATAGCTTTGAAAGCATGCAATTTTCATCCATCAGTCCTGGCTGATTGTATGGTGTAAATCGTCTGGGAAAACGTTGCCTGTCTGCCCACCAATGGTTCAGTTCTCTCTTCTGGCCTCTGTTAGGCTTCCAGCGCTCCTGGTGCTTTTTTCCAACCTTCCATTTAAGGTTGTCATCATATTTCCCCCCCCAGGACTTGGCAGCATCTGCCAATGGTGCGTCTGGCCTGTACACTGATACCTAGGCAGCAGGATGGAGTCCATTCTTTTTTGGCAATATACTATATCTTCAAAACACAGTAGTGCAGATATTTTGAGAAAGGAGATCTTGCACCTCCTTTGTAAAGATGAGAAACCTAAAACATAAATTGCAATGCATTAAAGTGCGATTTATTGAACGCCTGGTTGCAGTGCAGGCTGGGTTCATGCAGCACCCATTTCGCCAATACGCTTCTTCCCCACAAATTCTGCATGTTCTCAAGTAGCTTGTAGAAGGCGAGGTGGCAGGCGCTGGGGTACTTGGTAAGGGCACATTTGGAGGGGGCATTGCAGAAGCACCACCTGGAGGGGCACCTGAAGTACCTGGAGGAGGTGTATTTGGAGGTGGTAAAGGTTGTGATTGGACATTGACATGAGGTGTCAATGCCTGGATCACCTGGGTCTGTACCGTGATCAGCTCCAAAACCCGGTCAATCTCCTCATCTCCGGGCCTCCTGCGAGAGGAACTTGATTGTCCAGCTCCCATAGCAACAGCAAGAACAAAATTCGAGCACTGAAACAGGAGCTAGAAAGCCAAAGCAGCTTCAGTTGTAAAATCCATTCTCAACACTGCAATTTCCATGCCAAACCATTTCAACATTCCAAATTCCAGACGAAACTTCTCAAATCCAAAATTCCAATCCAACATTAAACATTAAAGCCACATCCTATGAAAGTCTACAAGCCATGTTTGAAATCCACCCAGGCACTAAACGCTCAAGTTCCAAATGTCAGGAGATCTTGCACCTCCTTAAGACAGAAAAGTGGAAAGACTATTTCCTATTTTCCTATAGAGAACTCTCAGGAGATTTTACACCTCCTTGAAACATGCAACAGAAATCAGCAGCAATTTTCTTGCATGTTCATCCAATCGAATCCACATCCTGTCCAACCTTCCACTTTCGAATTTCCTCATTCAAAAATTCAATCACAGATTGTTCAGTAGCACCATTGTGCAAATCAGCAATGCATTTCTTGGCCAAATCCAAGCCAACTTCTCTTGAAATTTTGTTCAAAGTGAAAGATTTGATTTGTTTTTTGTCTCCAAAATTTCGTCTGATACCTAAAGCACCATACTTCCGACTGCCTTTGGCAGGATAATCTTCCAAGCGATATTCAGGAGATGCCAAGTCAACAGAAGCAGGTTCAGGATCAGCAACTGCCACAGCCGGCCGAGCTTCAACATCCTCTTCTTCAGAAGTGCCAAGTGCTGCTTCACATGCAGAAGGCTTTTTCAAGATTGCAGCAGGCCTTTTCAAGACTGCAGCAGGCCTTTTCAAGACTGCAGCAGGCCTTTTCAAGACTGCAGCAGGCCTTTTCAAGACTGCAGCAGGCACCTGCAGATTGCCTATAGATCTTCAAAGATTCATTGGGAATTTCAGATTCAAATTTGTTTTCACCAAAAGCAGCAATGGCAAAGCCATTTGGTCCTTCACTCATAGTAGCTTTCTCCACCTTGCTATCCACAAAGCGACATACCACCATGGCAGTAGAATCGATCCAGGTTCCAGCACTCACAGGCTTCTTAGGACTCGCTTGGCTCTCTTCACTCGACACTTCTATCAATTGATGCTCTTGGCTATCCAATGTTTCTGAGCTGTGGCCTGGAGGAAATTTTTGCAAAAGTGGTTCATTCACAGGCAACTGTGGGATGGAGCTCGCATTGGAACTTTGTCTCATGAGCCTTCGCTTGGCAATGGCTTTCTGAACAAACTTGCCTTTCTGCCGGTTCCCATGGAATTCTGAGCACTCCAGATAGATCTTCACAAGCTCACCCATCCAAGACTCATATTTCTTACTTGAAATTGACCATTTTGCTTTTGTTCTGATGTGTTGCACACATTCGACAATTGCAGAAGACCACTTCTTCGCTTCGTCACTCAAACAGCGAGGGTAGACTTTCGAGGCAGCTTCCTTCAAGCACTCTTTGGATGGTCGAATTGTTTTCTGGAACATCACGCCCAGAAATTTTCGATAATGCTTGCAAACTTGATCAATTTCAACATCCAAGTACTTCTCGGGATCCAAACAAGCCACCTCTGCTTTCAAACATTTGCAAAGGTCTTGAACAGAAGCAGTGTTCTTAGCTCTAGTCATCTTGAGAAATCAACTGCAGATGCGATGCACAAACATTACATGCAGGAAATCAAAACACCAAAAGGAGATCTTGCATCTCCTTGAAGCAACCTCCAAAGGTCGGTCTTGATGCAATGATGCTGTGAGAGATGTATCTAAAAACAGTGAAAAAAATCCTCCTTAAAAAAAAATAAGGAGGAAATTTCAAAAAAAAACACCTTAATTAAGGAGAATTCCTCCTTAATTAAGGTGGAATTCCTTTAAAAAAAACTCCTTAAATTAAATAAGGAGGAATGGAAGTTCTGGGAACATGTGTTTTCCTTTTCTCTATATGTTCTGCCGTTTATCATTGATATTCGGTAGCGCAAGTGGCTCAAGTCGGGGTATCAGCGAACCTTTTCGATTCGACCTGTTCCTCCGCTTGACTGGGTGATGGCTTCCAGTGCTCCGCCTCCACCTCCGCCCGGCAAGGGTAAGGGCAAGCATGCAGCAACCGATGCGCTGCGTGGCTTGGCTGGTTTTGAAACCCAGCAGGAGATTGCTGATGCAAGAGAAGCGGCTGCAAAAGCGAAAGCCGGTATGAGCATGAAGCGCAAAGTTGAAGACTTGCTGCCTCAGTTCACTGACGGACAAGGTGGATTGGTCTCGATGCTGCAGAAGGCATCAGTGATTGAATACTTTCCGTATGCACCCAATCAGCTGGCACGCAACTTTCAGCTCATCAATGGTGCCATGACTGCTTCCGCGAAATACGGTGTGAATCGTACTATCCCTGCAATTCTGGTTATGTGTGACATTCTTGCCACCTACCACTTGATTCTGAAGCAATATTGCATGCAGGCCACAACCACTACAGTCACTGTCTTGCCCGGCGACAACTATGGACCAGATGCAACTGACAAGGCTGCCTTGGCCAATACGATTGATCGAATGGACCCCGAAATGATCTCGCAGAATGCCTGGATCACAAAGATCATTGGAATGTTTGAGGATGCTCAGAAGAATATTCTCTCCCCAATGTACAAGTTCGTGAACTTCAGGCATGATGCGGATCAATGTGCTGCAGGTACGCGTGTGGATTTTGCAAACGCACCCACATTCGAAGGAAACCTGATGTTTTCAGCACCGTACTAAGTTTGGGCAGAGAATGCTCTCACACCCGTGGAGATTGAGTTGATGATCATCAGTTGGTTCCAGGGATTGGAATTTGGTGCTATGGTGGCACTTGTGCTCTCGATGTGCTTTGGGCAAACCAGGGCCGGTGAGCAATTGCTCCAGAGAAGGTTCTTTCCATATCACCGGATGTATGTGCAACCGTTACTTGCGGGCGCTGATGCCTTCACAGGGCAGTTACTCACTGACTTGCCCAACTTTGATCAATCCCTCATTGCTCGCCGGAGCGCTTCTCTCACGCATGCCGCCATGCATGCCTACGCAGTTTCCCTGCTTTCAATGCCTCCTTCAAGTGCCATCACAGGCGAAGAGGGCCTTCCTCCCTTGGGGCAGCTCGTGGCCCAACACCCAGAAGCTTCAACAGCTCCAAGTCGCTTGCCGGGCCCATAGCCAGCCCAACTTTGGATTTCCTGTGTGGACTTCCCTTTTTGGTTTTTGGATTTCTTTGTGAGTGGCCGCGGAACCTGCCTTTCAGTGAGACACGCTGCAGAAAAAGGCGTGTTTGGAAAAAAAAATTGGGCCAGCACTTGCCTCATGAACAGTTTTGATATTCCGTACGGACTGCGCACAGGTTGCGTGCGGAATCCGTTGCCCCTCCTGGCCTACCCCGCCCAAGAGTTACGGATGGGTTGTGCATCATTGTGTGGGGCCCTTAGGATAGATTTTTTTAAAAAATATTTGAATTGGATTCTGATTTTATTTTAACATATATTTTTTAAAGGGTCAAGGCTAACAGGCTAACCGTTTTATCTCTAAGGATCCCTGGGGTGGTTCTTTAACAGGTATTTTTTCACCCGTTTAATGACGGCCAGAAATAAAATTAACGTTTAATGAATTGATAAAAATGAATCGTATATAGATTGGAATACTTCTACAAATATACAGTGCCTTAGATTTAGGACTATTGGCTTTATTTGTTTGGACAATGGCCATACAAAAAAAAATAAAAGAGGCAGGGAAGAGGGGACACGATAAAAATTTGGGCGCGGACTCGACACTAGAATTTTTTGGAACAAGGGATGGGGTTAGATAATTATAACCGAAACGTAGATGCCGGGAGGCCAAAAAAAAACATTTTTTTACGAATTTTAATGCTGTATGGGTTATAGCTAACATTTCCGAGTGTAATAGGTTTTTTGTTTCCATGTTGATGGGTCGGAAGCCTTAAAAAAAAACAAACGAAACTAAAGAATGAACGTCCCCGAGAGCACAAGGATACATTTTACATTTTTTTGCTACTTGATAATTCGTTTGTTAATGTTACGAATTTTGGTGCTCCATGAAGGCATCGATGATGTGGATTCGCCATGCGGTTCCAATCAAACACCAAACGTTCATCCCAAACCCACCCACGTAGAAAAACACGTGGTGACGTTTGACGTTTCTGTTTTTGTATATTTTGGTAATGTTTGCGTCGGAATGTTTTGATTGATGTCAGCAACGATGAAAAAATGAAAAGAAAAACAACGCAATTTACTCGGCACCGGGCATTATGTTGCTTCACCATCCTACCGACGCATTGGCAAGATTTTTTTTTTCCAGACACGCGTTGTCAATTCGCGTTTTTACCTCCACACTTTCCATGGCGACGGTCCTATCAGCATGTTGCCATGTTTCATAAAATGCTACCGTTTTTGCAGCATGAACCACACCAAAACAATTTCAAAACACATCATGCAGGGCACGCAAAAATGACATCAAAAGGACGCCAACGGCTTGAAGGCCGTGCCAGGAAGTAAGCATTAATACTATTTACCATCACCAAACATGAACATCTTGCATCATTGTTGTCCACCACCGTCACCACCACCACTACTATTGCGACCAGCACGAGCACAAACACCAGCACATCACCACCAGCATCAAAATTAAAAATTATGAAGCACTAGCTTTACAAAATTTTCAAAGGATTTGAATGGTTTGTAAGTCGTCTCGCGCCAGTCCCAATGAAAATTTGTTGTTTGTTCCATGGCCTCCGTAAACAACACATGACATATACATTCGGACATAGTTTGTTGATGATTGTTGACGCGGAATTTGACGTATACATAATATCAATATAGTAGGGGATTTCGGCGACCTACCGACAACGTCAAACGGATGCAGCTGGAAGTATGCCGTTCCTAAATGCAACGATCTAACGATCAGCATCAATCACCTGCTGGCACCACAGCGCATGTTGCTGATGATTTGGCAGGCCCTCCAGACACTGCGTTTTCTGAGTTCCGAAACCCGGTTGCTGGGCTCTTAGCCTATCTCAGCTGTAACGGTTCATCCGCTGATTTTCCCAATTTTCGGCATCATTCGTACTCAAACGACCAAGCGCGTTCGCGACTCAATGTGCAATGCGTTCCGCTGTAGCAGCACGATGTAATATTTTGTTTCTCGGAATGTTATATGTGTCAATTCCGCCGGTTGTTTACCATGAATATGCCATTGGGAAATGCTGACATACTATACTGGGGTTGGTTGATGGCCGATCACGAGGCCTGAACTCCAAAATTCTTGCCGGAGAGGCGGGCATCGTTCACACACGCCCACTTGCTGGGCAGATTGGAGAACAAACATGAGGCAATGTTTTCAATCAAATATGACATGACCTCGGCCCGCAGCAGGTTTGCAACAAATCTGCGATTTGACTTCGAGCATCGAATTTCGTTCGCGTTGTGCAGAGGTACTTGGGGAAGTTTTCTGCGCATACGATTTTGCAGGGTTGTTGGGAACTCCCATTTTTTTTTGTTCGGACCTTCCTGGCAATCTTACGCGTTTGTCTTGCGCAATCACAACATACTGGTACAATAGACATGCCCAACAACGGCGCAAAACCAAACGCTGGATCTTGTCATGCAATTTTGGCGTGCCAGTGCCAGGTGCCGCCTTCAGCCCCAGCACTCTCAGCCGAATTGTTCGTAGGCAAGCACTGGCAATTGGCGAGTGTTCTTAGGTTGGCTGCTAAAAGGATCAAAAGGGAATATTGAGAAAAAATCTTGTTTCTCACATGAAGTATCGATAAATGCCAGTTGATTTTGCAAGTGTTTCCCTTTTCATTTGATGGATTTTTTTTATCCATATCGGCCAAGGTGAAATGTACAAAAACCATCAAAAACCGCATATATAGGGATAGTTATGTGACGTGCTGGGTTTCACCCAGTTATGGAATAGGGCAACATGAGGCAACCAAAATGTTTAGCTGATCCATGCGTTTTGATGGTGCCGGAAACAGCACGTCACCCACACACGACTAGGAGGTGATGTTGCCACCGGTTCGCCACGGGATGGAATGTTAGAGGCCGGAAAAGGGAAACCATCAGAAGACAGTGGACACGGTTGCTAATCAAATTCATTGGGTCTGTTGTTGGTTCTGTTTCCCGGATGGTTGGGACATGTTTAGTGGAGCGAGTTGAGAGTTTGCTATAGGATGTCCGAAGCCCCGCGGCCTCCCCAGACAGTGGCAATCCACAGGCGCAACTCCGTTCGTCCATGGTATTCGAACAGTTCTCAAATAAATATAAATAAATCATCACTACCCCCTTGGCGCCCTAGACCCCCCCCGCGGGGGGGCAAAAATGTAAAGTACAATAACCTAATTCCAACATATACCTCTAAAATCTACTACACATATAAAACTAGGGGGGAATCAAAAAATGTAATATCCCCATGTGCCTGGCGCGAATGGAGTTTGAACATTTTTGGATACCCCCCCTAACAACCTTTTAAGTAGGCTTAAACATAGGGGGGAGGGATGCTAAAAATTGTAATATTGCTTTGCGCCTAACGCGCCAGATCATTGGAACATTTTACAACCCCGGGGCTGGGTTAGTGGGGGGGGGGAGTTGAATTATTTAGACCCCAAAAATGTTCGGTACATTTTTGGTGCTTTTAAGTTGTTCTTAGCCTAGGTATAAGGCAAAAATGTTCCAGTACATTTAAGCCCTCTTACTTATGATTTCCTAGGGAGGGGGGGGTGGTATGATGGTTACAGCCCAGCTTTAGGGAGGGGGGGGGTTATGATGGTTATAGCCCAACTTTTGTGTTTTTCTAAAATGCAGGTAATTCCACTACCAAAAATGTACGGTACATTTTTCGCCCTCCCGGGGGTCTAAGGGAGTCGTGATAATAAATCACTGGTTGGTGGTTTCGTTTTTTTTCCCCATATATTGGGAATAATCATCCCAATTGACTAATATTTTTCAGAGGGGTTGAAACCACCAACCAGATCATTGTGAAGAACTTGATGTGAAAGGGATACGTTTCACCCTAATAGCTGGTGATTTCCGAGCAACTGTGGTAGCCACAAGTGTGTGATGGAATATATGCGACAAAGATAAGGCCGAGTCTACATTGATTAGTGTAAAAAAATGTGTTCCCCAGTATTCTGTTTTTTTAATTCCACCTAATCGCACGTGTAAACAGCAATGGCACCCAATGAGTTATTGTATGAAATAATTTTCCATACTTTTGCAAATCACGGAGTAGTAGAACGTTTACTCTTGGACAAATTATCCGAACCCATCAACCACATTCCAATTGGCAGCCAGGAAATTGAAGCACCGGCAACATCGTCAATGTCGGTGGCTGAACACGTGGAACCACAGCTGGTGACTCGCCAACAAAATATGTCAGTTTCAATATTTGGATGGGCACTTTGGCGCGTCAATGTCACAGGAAGATGGGCGCAATGAGTCATATCGTTTCTTATCTGGATGCTCACGATGAGCCATGATATCAGACCCACCTCCTTAAACCTTTTTTTTGGCAGAATCTGGCAAAATGTAAAATATGTTTTCGGTATATTTTTCGAGGGAATGTAAAAATGTCAGTACAAAACTGCAAGGTTGCAAAAATAAAGTATTAAACATGTAAGATGTAACCCCCACAGGCATGGTACGGAGAAAGGATGCCGGGGTACCCGCAGGCATACATCAGACATGTTGTGACCATGGGAAATACAAACTTATCGAATGCCTGACAATATTCAAGTTTCAGCTGGCCGTTTTGATGCAGTAGCGACTTGATCCCAATAGAACCCCAAACATGATTCGATACCAAACGTGTTGCTTATTTGCTAGCGCGCCAACTGAACGCGTGTTTGTTTCAGACCTTTTTTGGCACTAGTCCTATTAGGGTTCACCCTTCCCTCATATTTTCCCCCGAAGATTAAAAACAACAGGAAATCGTGCAGCAGCAAGAAATGATTGGACATGATTGAAGCACATGTTGGGCGACATTATTTACGGACATGAAATTGGAATGAATACAATACTTGTTCGACTGCCTCTGTGACACATAAGTTTTTTTAAGCGACGTCATTGATGCTTGATGTTTCTGTCAACTGCTGGGGTTACCACTCAGATACAGCCTGTGCAAACGTATCGGGGTTTGATTTTCAGCCTTTCTCGGCGATTTTTGCGTGGATATTCAGATTGAAACAAAATGCATACCATACTTATGGACAGGGTTCCATGTGTTGGACGGTTCAAGCTGCGCATAGAAGTCAGTCATCGACAATTTGATTTTATTTACAATGCATCCGAATAGTTACTGTAATATTAATTAATGACACATGCGTGCACTGTGTAGATCTAGTGCATAATGTAACCGTCATTGTGCTATACATACATGCGCATTATGCATGTTTGTCCTCACAACTCAACGCAGCTCAACTGTATACAATTCATTTTCTCGCCATTATGTGCGGGTCTAGGTAGCTGCTACGGCCTGGAAAAACGTGGTTTTCGCATTTGATTTGGTTAAACTGAAAGAGCTGGTTGTCAGGGTCAAATTCCTGAGAGTGGAGTATCGGTTTGTGCAACACGCGCGGCGCATGCAGAGTGGTTAATAAATGACTCGGCAAGGGATAAATTATTTTTGATTCGACCAGTGGTGGCATGCCAACAATTTTGTTTGAAATCGGTTCCTTCCTTCGTTCGTTCCCACCTTCCTTTGGAAGCAGCTGACAATTTCATTTTTTGAACGCTGTTTATGTTGTTCCTTCACTGTCGATTGGCCAGCATTATGTATATGATTTAGTTTTTTCATTTTTTTATCATACGATGATTTTTCCGATGCCTTAAATTTTCGGTTTTGTTTGTTTTTGTTTTAAAGGGCATATGGTTTTACAAAAAATATATCCATAAAAACAAATAAATACCATATATGTGCGTGTGTAATTGTATTCGTGCTGATTTAAGACACTAATGACCCAAGAATCGTGACATTACATGCGGATGTTGAATTTCAACCCTGTTCTTTTACAAAACCACCGAAACATCCAGTCCACTTATGTTTAGGTTTGTTCCTTTCAAAATTATAATTTTAATGTTGTTTCTTTTGGTGGTGATTGTTCCAACATGGTTTCCAACATAGTTCTTACCTACCTATGAAACCAGAAAAAAAGAGGCCAACGTCCCACTTAAATTTATAAGTTTATATAAGTTTTGCGATCATCGACATATATTAAAATGAATTACTTCCACAATTCCTCCACTTCTACTCCGTGGCTACCAGCCACCCATCGTCGCACCCCAGGCGCCACTTGAGAAGTTGGGAAGAGAATGCGACCAGGTCCACCATCCGTTTTGCCATCTTTTTGGAGGTCACAGGTCGGAGTCATGCAGCCGCGAGTCAAAATTCTACGCCGTGCCAGGAGGAACAAGATCGCTTCTACGATTTGCTCTTGGCTGCCGTGGCGGCTCTCAGTATGGGCCCTGCCAGAGTGGCACTTGGGGACCGAAACTGCCCAGGTGTTGCCTTTGTTTGGGGATGGCACGTCATTGGCCGCAGAACAGGCGCCCCTCGCTGGAATCAGAGTAAGAGGAACCACCTCCACTTTCAGGTTAGTGAAATGTTTCCATTTACACAACCGATTTTATGTTATGTTTGTATATTTTGTATGCCATGATTAAATATGATTAAATTATTATAGCAGCAGTTTCCGGTGGTGCCAGGCCGCCGTGCTTCTGCAGAAAGGAGGCGCTTGGCACGGGAGAAGTGTCTGCCGAAAGCCGGTTTCGTGCGAACATTTGATTTTTTAATAATGAAACAGTGAATATGTGATGGACAAATTATATAGTGGAAATTAGTGGAAACCGTATGCAATTTGTTATGACGATTTAGCCGCTTTAGTACTTAAAAACTATAATTATGTCCCGCTACTGAGTCACAGTCAAAATTGTTGAAAACTACTTTAGGATTGCACAAAATGCAAAGCGACAGGCCCCCGCAAAAGCGATAACTTGGGACCAAACACGACAGTCCATTAATTAAATTTGAACCAAACAAATATTGCTGTGCACATTCACAGAACGGGCAAAACCGATGAAGGAAATTCAACCTGTGTGTTTCCTGCAGTTACCATATAGCATGTGGCATCCAATTCGCTCGCGTTCTTTCTTTAGTTTTTTTTTTCTTTCTTCTTTTTCTTTCTTTCTTTCTTTCTTTCTTTCTGTCTCTCTCTCTCTCTCTCTCTCTGTCTCTCTCGTTTTTGTGGCAAATTTCCTTTGAACAATGTCATACGCTGGAAGAATTATTTAGCGATAACCTTAGCGACAACCATTTGTTGCACTCGGTCCCCTGGCCAAGACATCATAGAGCCATTTCCATAACTTTAGAAAGGAACTGAAGGACACAAATGCAAAATGAAGGGGAAATGCATGCACATGAGAGGAAAATGATAGGACATGAATGCACATTGGAATGAAAATGGAAGGAATATGAAAAGAACATGAAGGCAAATTAATGATTACCAATGAAAGGAATATGAAAGGAACGTGAATGAAAGGAAGTGAATGCAAAATGAAAGGAACATGCATGCAAATGAATGCAAAATGAAATCTGAAAGGAACATGAAGTGTTGCCGAAGCACCTGAAACCAACAAAACAACTCCTCGATCCATTTCCGAGCCTGTCAAGGAATGGATTTTGGTTTCGTGTTGGATCTCGAATATGCTGATTTCCACAAAACCCTGGAAAGCGCATGGCCCCTCCCAAGAGCGATAACCATAACAATAGCAACTACTCAGATGTAAAGGAATTCGACGGGAATTCAAATCAATCCGTTCATTCTCGCACAGGGAAAGGAGGTTGGAACAATTGCAACCATGCTTTTGGAGCTGGCGCTGTGCCGCTGTACCGACCCTCCCCAACCCCCACCCACCCTGATTTGTAGATTTCGGGATTTCTGTGGGCTCACCAAACAAACAGCAGGAACATACAGAATTTCTTCAAGATGTTGAGGGTAATGTTCCTAGATTTTTGTGTGTCATCTAGCCATATTATGTCTCCATGTGTGTCCTGTGAGTCATCCCACTCAGCGCTACATCTTTGTCACTTTGTCAGCATCCATTAACATCACGTGTGGGGAGTTCAAGCATGAATTACGTAAACGCAACAATACGCAATCCGTTGTCAAGATTCATTAAGCATACCCCGGTCTAAATATTTTTTGAATTATGTAAAATCACCCCGAAATGGTTGCTTGCAGGGATGGTTTATGGAATTGGGTTTGCCACTCAAGCTCCAAGTTTGTTTGTTAATGCGTTGTGGTCGTTGGGTGCATCATGGTGCATCACAATTCTTGTTGGTTTGGGGCATTTGGTTTATCGCCGTATGGTTGGGTTGTTGTTGTGCTTTATTACGTCTATTTGATAATAATAGGTTTGTCGGTTTACCATTTTTTGTTTTGCATGCCACTATTTGGAAGTAGTGTTATTGGGTCACCACAGTATATCCCAATCGCCGGCGAGGTTTCTCAAGCCCACTACAGGTAAATTCAATCATTGGTGTTTTTTCTTTTCGTTTTATTTTGATAAACTTACCAAGTTATCACACAAAAGGTACCTGGGGCGCGGGGAGCAGTCCCAATTGTTGTTGGTTCAGTTATGTTCAATCATCAATAACGTTTGAATCGTTTTTTGGTTGAATCATTGAATCACTGAAAATTGGAACAACCCCAATTGTTGTGTGTTCAATAGGTGTACTTTTTTTGTTGAATCACTTTTTTTCGTGGTTTATCGATGGGTCCACGTTACAGTTACATCCCACCAAGCTTCACCAAGGCCCCGTCCGCCTACCAGGCTTGTCGGAGGCCCAACAGGAGATGGTCGCGAATGCCAGTCCTTTGGGCTGTGAGGCAGGGTGAGCCCCAGGGTTTGCGCAGGTTGGAACTGAGTCACTGTTGATTCCTCTCTGGAAATAAGATGAAAGCGTATAATTTTACATAACTCCCTTGGATACTGATAATTTCCACGTGGTTTCTAGTTTAACTGTTGATTCCCCTCTGGTAACATGGCAATGGACAAGTCCATACAATTCCCCATTTGATGACTGTTGCAGCGAGAAAAAACTCCATCTAGTTCGGGATGTCCCAGCCACGCTTGATTACTGGACGGTATCTGTCTAAACGGTTTATGTTTTGCTAGGCCAGGCATTTGGCGATTCATCCGATTGATAATTATTTGGTTGGTGGTTTGGAACATTTTTTTGCCCATTGGGAATGTCATCATCCCAACTGACGTTCATATTTTTCAGAGGGATTGAAACCACCAACCAGTTGTTTATTAACATTTTTTTTATGATGACTTCATTTGACAAGCATATTCATTGAGTTGGAGAGAAAAAACACCAGCCAAACCGGGTGCTTTTGATTATTTTTCAATCCCTCCAGTCTGCAGGAAGTCCTGGATGGGGAGGATTTGCGAAGAGTCTTGGAGAGTATGGTAGCTTGGCAGCACGGGCTCCGTTTCGGTTTTCTGTGCCATGTTTGGTTTCCTGGTTTCCTCTAGAAATGAGAGTTTATATACACAGAAGCTGTGACAATTCTGATGGGGCAAATATGGAAAACGATGCTCAACTATGATTTGTTTAAGGGGGGACCGGGAAGCCCGTTTCAGAATTAACCCCGCCAAGGGCCAAGCGTCAACCAACAGGCATTCAGCAGCAATGCAAAGATTTTTGAAGGACCGATCGATGCATGGCATGCTTTGACAATTCAAAATGGTTCATTCCGACGCGCAGTTATTAATCCCAACTGTTTTGGGGTTTGATTGGTTTATGAAAGAAACCAACAACTACAGACCCTTAAGTATTCTTCCATTGGCAGATAGATTTATCGAATGGATATGCACAAGTATATTCAAACAAGTAGATTAATTCATTGTGAAATATATATATATATATGTGTGTGTGTGTTCTCAATAATTGCTTTTTATAGTAACAATACTAGTTCAAAAAGTATACATATAAAAATAAAAATAAACAAGAAAATAAATAAGTAATAAACAAACAAATAAACAAACACACATACATACATACATACATAGCATACATAGCATACATAGCATACGTAGCATACATAGCATACCTAGCATACGTAACATACATAACATACATAACATACATAGCATACGTAACATACATAACATACATAACAAACAAAACATACATAACATACATAACATACTATGCTATGCTATGGTATGCTATGCTATGCTATGCTATGCTTTCCTATACTATACTATACTTATACTTATACTTTTGCTCATACTTATACTTATGCTCATACTTATACTTATACTTATACCTATATTTATACTTTTACTATACTATACTATACCATACTATACTATACTATACCATACCATACTATCCATCCATCCATCCATGCATGCATGCATACACATACATACATACATACGTACGTACGTACGCACATACATACATAACATAACATAACATAACATAACATACATAACAAACTATACTTTGCTTTACTGTACTGTACTTTACTATACTATACTGTTCTATACTTTACTATTCTATACTATACTATACTATACATCCATGCATGCATGCTTACATACATACACAATATTTGTATTTCTGCATGGTACAAAATAACGATAACAACAAACATAATAATAGATAATAGTAAAAACATATATATATATATTTTGTATACATACACATACACAATGTTATCCCATACTTTTCTTGATAAAGTCTAAATGATATTTACACACGCAAATGTATATATACATATATACTTCATGATTTTCAAAAAAATGTTGTGAAATTTCCAAGCGCCCAAAGCTTCGGATAGGGATGTCCTACAGGCAAGAATACAAGACGGAGAAGATGCCGGGAGCACCCAGGTAATCAGGCGACCCAAAGGATCTGGGTTGATTGAGATGCAAGGTGCAGATCGTTTACACCTATTATAAACTGTGTAACTTGGTAATAAGAAACTATTGTGTGATTGCTGATGTGGGTAAAACATGGTAAAACAATGTCATAAACCACCCAGTTGTGAATGGTTTATACCACCTATTTATTGTGATTTTGGGGATGGTTGATGGCATTGTTTTACCCACATTAGTGAAAATTAAAGTACCTGTTTTGGCAGTGTGTTATCACGTTTTCTTTAAGATGTTGACACGCATCCGTTGTAACTTTGATGTGCAAATGCAACTGCAATTTTTTCTGTCATATTCCAGCGCTTTCTCACACAGATATACACATGGGAAATCCACCTGCTTGGTAGAATCAAACATTCGTCCTACATATGATTTAATAATTCCGGAAAAATAAAACAAGAATTCATCCCTATTTTAGGATGTGATGTGACTTTTCTATCTTTATGGGGTTACTTAGCGTCATTTTGTTACGCTCTGATAATTCAACATAGCTATAGAAAACGGGCAATTTATAGATGATGTATTGACTTACCAATTTAAGCATTTTAAACATTGTGATTTTCCATAGCTAGGGAGCAAATTACAGTTGTACCCCGTGTTTGTTTGTTCCACTTCCATGTCCCAGCTGTCGCTGAGGCCCAGAGCCAGGGGACCATTCCAAGGAGGGTTCCAAGGCGAGCGCTTTGGGCGTCAAAACGGTTTCAAGATGGTTTAAATACCAAACAACCTACAAACACTTAGGGTTGGTTTATATATTTCCAATATATTTCCAATATTTTCCAATATTTTCTGATTATTTCCATACATGTTCCATCATTTCTCAGACATTTTCCATACATGTTCCATACATTTCCATATTCCTATCATAGCGGCACTTCGTTTTACAGATGGTGATGTCGACATGTCGATGTCGCAGGATCAAGGGCGTGACCTGGGATGGTGGCCGCCTTCGGATGGGCGAAAGCTTTTATGCCTAACGCGGCGCATCGCGGCGCCATGGCCATGGCGTTCCAAGGGTGCCGTGCCTTGTTTTTTGGGGGGACACATTTGGGTATGGGTCAATACCTATTAATACCATTTTTCGTGGGATGAACATCCATTTACCAGCTATTTTGGGGTTCACTAGGTACCAGGGTTTTGACCCATCCCCATTTATATATATATACTTATATACAATCATTTATTTATTTGTTTATTGATAGTATAGATTTATTTATATCATTTATATTTGTTTATTGTTTATATACAATAATTTGTTTATTTATTTGTTTTTTTTTATTTGTTTATTTATCTATAGTATATTTTTTGTAGATGTTGATATTGTTTTTTATGTGTCAGAAAACTCCAAGATTTAGTGTCTTGTAATGATTAAAACTTGTGGTAAGACATGTACATACCATGCGCCCTAAGTTGTCTCCTGCATTTTGACAGGTGGGGTGAGGTGGGGTGAGGTGGGGTGAGGTGGGACGGTGTGGAAAAAGTGAACATCCCATAGGTCCTACACTCTAACCTTGGGTGGATGAATGTAGTTACTCACATCATACCCTCTGGTAAACTAACATAGCTGTGGAAAATCAACATTTCTAATAAGTAAATCAACTATAATTGATCATTTTCAATAGCTATGTTAAATTACCAGAGGGTACATGTTTCTATTGTGCTGTTCACTAGCCAGTGGATCAGGGTGAAACGACCCAGGCTGAGTCCAGATCGTCTGGAAGAAGCACAGGGCCATGCAGGGCTGCCAATTTGTACATAGCAAAACTGGGTCCCAAATTCCGCCGCACGAAGTTGGCCGCGTTGGAGGGCAAAATCCCAAGAGTTGGCGGTTGGGGTCAATGGCCATGAAAGTTGTCAAAAAATCCGACCATGTCAGAATTTGGGAAGATTACGGTGATTACAGGACGGCCCTTTGGGGTCATAATATCGAGATATTTTCAACATCTTCAACGCAAGGGGTTCCTGTGAGGTCTCCCCATGTACCCAGTGATCTTATGATTTTTGCTCACGGGCTAGGCTCAGAAGGATAGAAATAGACAGTGCCAATCAACAGGGAACCGACTCCCAGCATCTCTATTTTTTTACGATACATTCTCTGAAATTCAAACAGTCCTATGTATATATATATATGTATATATATATATATGTATATATATATGTATATATATATATATATATTCATATATATATATGTATAATATATATATATGTATAATATATATATATATATATGTATAATATATATATATGTATAATATATATATATATATATATTCATATATATATATGTATATATGTATAATATATATATTCACATATATATGTGTGCATATAGAAAGATAAAGATATAGGTATAGATATCGATTAGAAGATTTTTTGCTGCTCCAAAGCCAGTTTTCCGACGTTTTTCGGTTCAGAGAGAAGTGTCGCAGGGGGCCCAGGGTGAAAGGACTGCCAGCAGGGATCAGGTGGCGCAGGCAGATTTCTTTGGGTTAGATGGTTGCCCTCCAGTAGTCAAGTGGCTGGCTGGGAAATCCCTTTCTTTTTTTGGAAGCTTTTAGCTGGGCTGGTTGGTGGTTTGGAACATGAATGGATGATGACTTTCCATATTTTGGGAAAATGATCCCAACTGACGAACTCATATTTTTCAGAGGGGTTGAAACCACCAACCAGTTGTTTGGAAGCTTATAGCCTTATAGCTGGGAAAATCATCGAACTAAATGGTGGATTGTCCAGCAAACCATGTGTGAGGGATCCGGGGGGTTGTATTGAAAAACATGGTAGCTTTAACCGACAAAAAGATATTATGGGCCCATGGGTTTGGTTCATCGCTATTGTGGGAGGTTGACCGTGTTCTGTCTTGGCCCATAGGCCCATACGTCGAACCAGGACTCGTTTGAAAGTGGCTGAATCATGCTGAATCATAACTGGTAGCATGTGAATTGCCGAAATGGGGCAGGGTAAAGCATAGATGTCAGCAGAATACAAGGGGGCCCAGGCTACAGTACATATCTCGATTTTGTTTGAATTTCATCCAGAAAAACAATGCCAAACTTCTAACAAAAGTGAAACACAGACATGGATGCAGGGATCACGCCTACGGCAGGTTAGGACTCATCTTAAACCATCTTAGACCTGCAATGTCAACCCAGAGTAAAAAGCCCCTGGGCTGTTTCATTGGGAGGATATCGTTTGAGTAATTAGCAGATGATCACATGCTGTCACTATTTGGGGGGAACTCCCCGAGTTTTAATTTACCGCGCTAGTTCCACCAAACTTTATAAGTTTCTTGGCTTATAAATTACAGATCTAACAACATCAAATATAGCAACAACAGAACGATAAAATACCTAAAAGATCCTACAAGTGGAATCATGCCTTCAAGTTTTGATTTCTGCCAATATCTCATCGTACAACAACAAAGTCAATGCCTAAAACACGCACAGAAAGTATTTAAATCATTTACCACTTTCGGTCAAGACCCAAAAAGGAATCCCGGAATCACCCAAAAGATTGAAAATTCAGTTCCCATTATTTTCATTTTTGTTTGATCTATAGGAATTCCCATTATTTTCATATAGGAATCAATAATATATGAAAAACTAGATTCATTTTTCCCCAATAGATTCCCATTATTTTCATATAGGTTCGCATTATTTTCACCAAACAGATTTTCCTAAACGATATTACCATTTAATTAATGATAATGTAAAAAAATGGTTCCATTTTATTATATTGCTATTTATGTCCTAAATACCCATATGCTCCATGGTGCTGGAATATTTACCTACATTTACCCCAAAAATCACCCAGTCATGTAGGCAAATATTCCAGCACCATGGGTTGCATATGGGATATGGTTATACTATGGTTTCATAAAATGGACGTGGCGTGCCGATTCTCATGCCGCCGCCTCCAGGATCGCCAAGGTCATGGTGGACGAACTTCACAGTTCCGAGGCCTGGTTTATGGGGCCGATGGTTTCGGGCGCCCAGCGGTGATCCTTGGAATGATCAATGTTTGGAGTCTTAGAATTCCAGGGAATCTGAGTAGATCCAAGATGATCCCAAGAATCTAGGAATGGTTTTTTGTGTCGGGATTACATCATATTTTGTTGCAGAAAGGGATGATGCGAATAGGAGAAAACGTGTTTTTTTTTCGCCGGGGAAGAGGGATTGATTATTTGGACGGAAAAACCTGGTGTGTCCTGCAAGATTTTCCCCGGAGAAATCCATTGGCAACATTTTTTCCCGAAGAATGATAGAATAGCGGTTTGAGAAGCCTCTAATGCAGATTGATAAATCTTGATGGTGACACGAACCTCATACCAAGGCCTTAAAAAAACTGGGCGGGTGCCTTTGGGCCTTTGGGGAGCGCTCTCAATTTTTCGTGATTTCTTCTTCCCTCCCACCACAGAATGGCCCAAGAACGTGCATCCTGGTGACAGACGATCATGCAGATTCATTGTTCATTGTCACATCATGATCATCATTATCATCATCATCATCGTCATCATCATCATCATCATCGTCGTCATCATCATCATCATCACCATCATCACCATCATCACCATCATCACCATCATCACCATCATCACCATCATCACCATCATCACCATCATCACCATCACGATCATCATCATATCTCCCCTAAAGAAAGGAACCAAATCGTGTTTTAGCATGTTTTAGCTAGATAATTTGGTTGGTTGTTTTCAGTATGCTTTAGTTTTTATTCATCAACCATAGACGCGGTAGAATTTCCATCCCTAATGGCAAGCACCTGGTCGCAGGACAGCGCCTGGGTTCAAGACGATGCCTGGGGACCCCAGCGATCTGCATGGATTGGACTCGCTATTATAGTAGTTAAATGTAGTTAAGATCATTGCCATGATTAATGTATTATACTCATGCTCAATCATTTCCCAATTCAAACAGCTATTTGGAGATATACCCTGGTTATTTGTTACCTAGCGCACTGGAAAGATCCACCATTTTTAATAGGTGAACCATCTATTTCTATGGGCCATTTTCCATGGCTATGTTAAATAACCAGATGGTAATGTATAATAATCATCTACACAGCACTCATCACACATACAGCTTTGTTTTGATTATTTTCGTAGATGTCTCTTTATTTATACGTATAGGGATAGTGCATAGATGTTTACTACTCAAGCAACATCATGTTTTCCAGAGAATCAGCCTGCGCAACATTTGCCACTTGCTTGGCACTTCGTCGCCGAGGTGGAACGGATCTGTACGGAAACCTTGGATTTGCACCTCAAAGAACATCAGTTCAATGAAGTCTGGGGCTCAAGGGATAGTGAGGAAAGCGGATTGGTTTTTCACATCATGTCTTCAATGCTGAAGCATGAAACAATGGGACCGCGTCAACCAAACAAAATCAAATCAGTATGTTTGATTGTCCAACTGATGTTCTTGAAATGTGTTTATCATGATTTATCCAAAACTGACTTGAGCATGCTTGTCTAACATGTCATGTTGTGTGATCCTTCTTTGCATATGTGTCCAATGTTGTCATAAATTCTAAAATTTGATTATTGACTGAAAAATCATACAACCACGAATCAACTTAACAAACCATGCTTGAAAAATGCATTCAGTAATTGGAGATTTAGTTTTCGATAAATTCGTCTAGAAGACTGATAATGTTGAATGAGTACATCCGGAAACAACGCATTTCCATTGCCAGGTTTATGTAGCAGATTTTGCAGAGGTTTTTGTGCACAGAGCCAATGGTATGGATGGCTTGACTTGACCACAATTCATTAAACAAGAATCCTCATAGTTCTTCCCGCCAAGATGATACATACATAAGATATCCAGCATATCCAAATAGGAAAGCATATATATCAAACGACATGTTTTCAGATGAATATGGAAAATCATCAAATGATCAATGAACATCCCAGCTGTTACAGTTGCCTACTCCACATTGCCTAAATCTTCGGCTCTGA